TCGTTTTCTTCATGCTTGACCTTTGATTCTGAAACACGAGTGATACTTGACCATTCAAGGAAAAGTTAAAAGCCCCTTTTCAGAGCCAGTTTTACTTAACAGATTTGTAAATGGAAAGATTATTTTCCCATCTTCTATAAGTTCTTTTTTTTTTTGAGACGGAGTTTCGCTCTTGTTACCTAGGCTGGAGTGCAATAGCGCGATCTCAGCTCTCCGCAACCTCTGCCTCCTGGGTTCAAGCAATTCTCCTGCCTCAGCCTCCCTAGTAGCTGGGACTACAGGCGTGTGCCACCATGCCCAGCTAATTTTTGTATTTTTAGTAGAGACAGGGTTTCACCATGTTGACCAGGATGGTCTCGATCTCTTGACCTTGTGATCCACCCGCCTTGGCCTCCCAAAGTGCTGGGATCGCAGGCATGAGCCACCATGCCTGGCTCTTCTATAAGTTCTTAAATGAAGGATTGATATTTTTCTGAATCTTTAACATATGAATTATTCCAAAGAGTGTAAGTAACAATATTTTTTTGCATTTGACTTAAGTCATTTCCCACGCATTGTAGAGTGTATCCTTGATGTGGCTCTTGGTTAGTGCTATGTATCCACGTACTCACCACCCAGCTTTTACAGTCACCAACTTTCTCTTGTTTCATTTGCTGTCCCTTAAAAATTTTTTTGCAGTGGGCCGGTTGTGATGGCTTACACCTGTAATCCCAGCACCTTGGGAGGTCGAGGTGGATCGGATCCCCTGAGATCAGGAGTTCGAAACCATCCTGACCATCATGGACAAACCCCGGCTCTGCTAAAAAGACAAAAATTAGCTGGACATGGTGGTGTGTGGTTACACAGCTACTTTTGAGGCGAAGGCAGGAGAATCGCTTGAACCTGGGAGGCAGAGGTTGCAGTGAGTTGAGTTCGCACTACTGTACTCTCACCTGGGCAATACGGTGAGACTGTCTCAAAAAAAAAAAAAAGAAAAAATTTTTTTTTTTTTTTGGTATATTAAGCTCATTTTTTAACTGAGGTAAAAGTCATATAACAAAGAATTCACTCTTGTAACCATTTTAAAGTGTATAATTCAGTGAGATTTGGTAAATTCACAGTGTTTTGCTGCTACCACCTCCGTGTAGTTGCAAGACATTTTCATCATTGCAAAAGGAAATTCTGTTTTCATCAAGCAGTCATTCTCCATTCCTTTTATTCTCCAGCCCATGGCAAACACTAATCTTTTAGCTTTTTGTCTGTGTGTATTATCATGTTCTGGATTTTTCATGTAAATGCAATCACACAATATGTGACCTTTTTGTGGCTGACTTCTTTCACTTAGGATACTATTTTTTATATTCATCCATGTTTATATCAACTTAATTTCTTTTTGGGGGCAGAATAATATTTAAATCCCTTTGACTTGTGAAAAAAAATCTGTATTCTCATTTTATGGTAAAAACATTAGAAACTTAGCGGGGCATGGTGGTGCATGCCTGTAATTCCAGTGACTTGGGAGGCTGAGGCAGAATTGCTTGAACCTGGGAGATGGTGGTTGCAGTGAGCCGAAATCATGCCATTACACTTCAGCCTGGGCAATAAGAGTGCAACTCCATCTCAAAAAAAAAAAAAAAATTAGAAACTATACTGTTAGAATAATTTTATTCTAATATAATTAGATACTTGATTGGGAAGTAAAAAAGTCATAACTTTACGGTTTTGGGCCAGGCACTGTGACTCATGCCTGTAACCCCAGCACTTTGGGAGGCTGAGGTGGGCCAATCACCTGAGTTTGGAAGTTTGAGACTAGCCTGGCTAACATGGTGAAACCTTGTCTCTACTAAAAGTACAAAAATTAGCTGGACATGGTGGCAGATGCCTGGGATCCCAGCTATTCAGGAGGCTAAGGGAGGAGAATTGCTTGAACTTGGGAGGTGGAGGTTACAGTGAGCTGAGATAGTGCCACTGTACTCCAGCCAAGGTGACAGAGTGAGACTCTGTCTCCAAAAAAAAAAAAAAAGGCTTTTGGGCTGGGCATGGTGACTCATGCCTGCAATCCCAGCATTTTGGGTGACCCGAAACAAGTGGATTGCTTGGTCTCAGATGTTCAAGACCAGCCTACTAAAATACAAAAAAAATTAGCTGGGTGTGGGGCATTCGCCTAATGGTCAGGAGGCTGAGGTGGGAAGGTTGCTTAGGCCTGTGAGGCAGAGGTTGCAGTGAGCTGAGATCGCAGCACTCCACTCTAGCCTGGGCAACAGAGGGAGACCCCTATCTCAAAAATAAAAATGCTTTTCAACACTGCCTTCTTTTAGAATTACTGGCCCAGGTATCTAAATTAAAGCTGGCGATTGAAATTGGAATGCTGAAACTTAATTGGATTCATGGAATAACTGAGTTAACAGATTCCTCCATTAGCTTCATTAAATCAACTGCTTAGTGCTTTTGTGCAGTTTAATTCACACACACCTCTAAGACATAGAATATTTTTCATCTTATTTCAAGCTAACATTTGCCGAGGACCCTCTGGGATTGCTTCAGAGTGGTGGAAATAACACAGGTTTAATGCCTATGTTATTGCACCATTCATTTTTGGTGTGTGAAAGTCAGGATTTCTTTTCCCTTCACCTCTCCTCCTTGTTACTATCTTATTATTCAAATTTGATGGTCTTAGAAAGGACCAAAGTGACAAGGATGAATGAAGTAATGCTGAGAATATTTCATCCAAAGGGAACAATACATTTTTTAGGCTCATTATTTAGTGTGTAGAGAGTGAAATAAGGCAGTTTTAAGAATACAGACAAATAATGGTGGCTACAGTTTTTTCTGCTTTTGAAACAACAACAATTGTAGATGTGTTTCCAATGTCTCTCCTTTATTGTGTTTGTAATAGTGTTTTTTTTTTTGTGGAGATGGAGTCTTAGTCTGTTGCCAGAATGGAGTGTAATGGCGTGATCTCGGCTCACTGCAACCTCCGCCTCCTGGGTTCAAGTGATTCTCCTGCCTCAGCCTCCTGAGTAGCTGGGATTATAGAACTGCACCACCACACCCAGCTAATTTTTATATTTTTTAGTAGAGACGGGGTTTTACCATGTTGGTCAGGCTGGTCTTGAATTCCTGACCTCAGGTGATCTGCCCTCCTCTGCCTCCCAAAGTACTGGGATTACTTGTACTGGCCTGCACCTGGCCTGTAGTAGTTTATTTTTTTATTTTATTTTTGAGACAGGGTCTTGTTCTGTCACCCAGATTGGAGTGCAGTGGTGCTATCATGGTTCACTGCAGCTTTGACTTCCCAGGCTCAACTGATCTTTTCACCTCAGCTTCCTGAGTAGTTGGGACTACAGGTCTCCCTAGCACACTGGGCTAATTAAAACTTTTTTTTTTTCTTTTTTTGGTAGAGATGGAATCTTGCTATGTTGCCCAGGCTGGTCTTGAACTTCTGGCCTCAAGTGCAGTCCTCCTGCTTGGCCTACCAAAGTGCTGGGATTACAGATGTGAGCCACCATGCCTGGCTTGATTTTTAAAATGTCCTTAAAATTTATTTTAAAATAATGCATATTTGTATTATTGACATGTAAGTTTAAATGCAGAGCATTGAATTTGAAAACTATAAGGTCTTGACAGTTTTCAGATATGAACTTAATGTTGCCTTTATAAATATGTAAATACACATACTGAGAAATAAGTTTCTGTGGTATTTTGCTCCTGAAATTTGGGCATACGTACTTTTTTTGTTCATTATAGGTATAAAAGAAGACAGTTTCTTTTTCTGTACTATTCCTTGGAAACTTAAAAGGACAAAAATCAAATTTTAAAGAGCATTTAAGGAATCTTGTAGAAAATGGAGTCTTAACAATAAATATAAAAATAGTAAGTTTTACTGTCAAAAATCTAAGTGAAATTTTAATTTAAAAAATATAAGTCCAGGCTTGGTGGCTCACGGCCTGTAATCCCAACACTTTGGGAGGCCAAAGTATGAGGATCTCTTGAGCCCCAGAATTTGAGACCAGCTTAGGCAACATGTGAGATCTTACCGCTAGAAAAAAGAAAAAAGGAGTGAACAGTTCCCATTGATTCTGCCTTCTTTTATTCCATAAACATAAACATAATACCCATCCATTAACTCATACATACACACCCTGCCCGAAGCTGTTATGAGTTGTGCTTTTTTTCTTCCATCAGGCATACTTTGACAACAAATACCTATTAGCACTTACTCTGTGAATTAGTCTTTCCCTGTCCTCTCCCTCCCTCCTTCCTTCTTTCCAACAGGGTCTCTGTCACTCAGGCTGGAGTGCAGTGGCACGATCATGGCTCACTGCAACCTCAAAATTCTGGACTCAAGCGATCCTCCTGTCTCAGTCTCCAGAGTAGCTAGGACTACAGGTGCATGCTATCAGGCCCAGCTAATGTTTTAATTTTTTTGTAGAGATCGGGTCTCACTGCGTTCCCAGACTGATCTTAAACTCCTGGCCTCAAGCGAGCCTTCTGCCTTGACGTTAGTCTTTTTCAAAATGTAACTGGTCTGTCATTGATCTAATATAGTCATGCACCACAAAATGACATTGTGGTGTCAATGTGCAACCGCATATATGATGGTGGTCTCATAAGATTATACTACAGCATTTTTATCATAATTTTCTATGGTGTCTTTTCTATGTTTAGATATGTTTAGACACATGATTACTTAACTTTGTGTTACAGTTGCCACTAGCATTCAGTATAGTAACATGTTGTGCACCTTTGCAACCTAGGAGCATTAGGCTGTACCATGTAGCCTAGGGATTAATAGTAAGCTATACCATCTAGGTTTGTGTAAGTACAACTCGGTGACGTTTGTACAATGATGAAATTGCCTAAGGATGCATTTCAGAACATATGCCTGTTGTTAAGTGATGCATGACTGTAGTTTATGTTGCATAAGGGAAAAGAAGTATAAAAAAATGTCAGTTTAAAAATGTTTTCAGGCATATTGCAGTGCTGATATTTGTAGTGAAAGTGCTTTTTCCTTATCCTAGTATCCTAGAAGGAAAACATCACCATGGCTACAGAAATTGGTTCTCCTCCTCGTTTTTTCCATATGCCAAGGTTCCAACACCAGGCACCTCGACAGCTGTTTTATAAGCGACCCGATTTTGCACAACAGCAAGCAATGCAACAGCTTACGTTTGATGGAAAACGAATGAGAAAAGCTGTAAACCGAAAAACCATAGACTACAATCCGTCTGTAATTAAGTATTTGGAGGTAAGCCTAATCAGTGTACTTCAGATGACCAAACTTTGGTTATTTATTTATTTATATTTTTATATTTTTTGAGACAGAATTTTTCTCTTGTTGCTCGGTCTGGGGAGTGCTGTGGTGCAGTTTCAGGTCCGGTGGTTGCAACCTCTGCCGCCTGGGTTCAAGTGATTCTCTTGTTTTAGCTTCCCAAGTAGCTGGGATTATAGGCACCTGCTGCTATGCCTGACTAATTTTTGTAGTTTTAGTAGAGACAGAGTTTTACCATGTTGGCCAGGCTGGTTTCAAACTCCTAACCTCAGGTGATCTGCCCGCCTCTGCCTCCCAGAGTGCTGGGATTACAGGCATGAGCCACCGCACCCAGCCAAGAAGATAATTTTTTAGATGTAGTGTAATAAGTATGTATACCTTTGTTAGTTGAATTAGTGGGATGAGGTGGAATTTCAAATTGGCTCATTTAGGGAGAACCTCAAGCCACTAGTACTGTGTGAAATTCTGTGCCTATATCATCTTCTAAAAAATCATTAAAGTTAGACTCCATTTCGGAAATAGGATTTGCTCTAAAAGTTCACAAATTAGAAGAGAGTACTTTAATTGCTAGGCAAACCTTAAAACCCTTGTTAAACCTGCAGTGTATATGAAATAATGCAAGACTACCAACATAGGAATATTTTTGTGGGAACGTATGTTCAGAACTGCAGCTTTGGGTTTCAGAGACAGGGAAGGAGTACATGGATTCTCCCGCTTCCAAGTCCTGGTGGTAGGTACTTCTTAGAGACAGGAAAAGGGCTTTCCGTTCAAGAGTATTGAACGCTTGATGCAGTTTTATAGGTTAAAAGCAACTTCGGCTTACTAAGTAAAGGCAAGCAGGGGCCTACCTACAGTTTCCCTTTAGAGTTCTTTATTTACTTGTCTTAACGTAGGAATTAGCATTATTAGTAATGCTACCCTATTAAGTTCACTGGGTTTAGGTCTGTTCTATGAAAATTTGTCTGCTTTTCATTACCTATTTGCATATTGGGCCTAATTAGTATGTTGCAGGCATACAGGAGAAAGAGATTCACAGATAAAGACAGATTTTGATTTTTCTGGAAATTTCAATTGCAAAAGTAGACTCGGAAAGAGGTTGAGAGAGATCAAGAAAACCAAGGGCAAGATAGGAAGAATTGTTTTGTGCTAAGGGCTTTGAAGAAATTGGGGACGTCTGTCTAACCCCTCTGCCGTTTCCTTTTCTTAAGGTAGATACTGTTGGGGCCAACAGTTTGATAAGTGGGTAGGGGCTAATATGATAAAGTGAGGAGGCAAGGTTTTTTTTTTTTTTTTTGAGATGGAATGTTGCTCTCTTGCCTAGGCTGGAGTGCCATGGTACCACCTCGGCTCACTACAACCTCCGCCTCCCTGGTTCAAGCAATTTCCAGCTAATTTTTGTATTTTTAGTAGAGACAGGGTTTCACCATGTTGGCCAGGCTGGTCTCAAACTCCAAACTCCTGACCTCAAGTGATCCGCCTGCCTCGGCCTCCCAAAGTGCTGGGATTATAAGTGTGAGCCACTGGGCCTGGCGAGGAGGAAGGTTCTAAGCAATGTTAGTAGGATAAGAAGGGAAAGCTCTCTAAGGCACCCACTATTTGTTTTAGAAAACAATATTTTAAAATTCTGTTTGCTATCCATTTAATAGCTTATGTTTCGTTAATAATTTCAAATTGAGTATAATTAGACCATCTAGTCAGTAATTGATATATTTATTTATTTAACAGAACAGAATATGGCAAAGAGACCAGAGAGATATGCGGGCAATTCAGCCTGATGCAGGTTATTACAATGATGTAAGTATATGATGTGTCATGCTAGCTTAATAAATACTTCCTTGCTTGAATATTTTATCCTAAAAATATGTGGCTTCAAGTCCAAAATGGTCTTCTCTTTTTACATTTTTATAATTAAAATATTCCCAAAGGGATACTGTAACACGTATGTATAACCATAGGTGATATTTTTGTCTCAATTTAGATTTTCCTTTTAATCTAATGATGGGTAAATTTTTGATTTGGGACTTAAAGCAGTGTCCAATAAGAAGTTGAATAATCTAAAATCTTATAATGGAAAGTTAATTTTAACTTTCTTAAAACTTAAATTTGAACTTAATTAGCTTTATGTGAGCATACTTAATTATGTTAACTGAGTACTAACTGGGGAAGTCTGGTGATTTTCTTGTTTGTTTAGTTATAATGGGTATTTAACTTTCCTGTATCTTACATTTCTTCACTTAATAGACTAATTGTTTTTAAATTAAATTTTATTTGTGTGTGTGTGTGTGTGTGTGTTTTGGTTTTTTCTTTTTTTGTTTTTAATTAATAGACTAATTGTAATAATCCTTTATAATTGTTTTTATGGGAAAGTTTTATATAGTCCCCAGTTTGTCTTAAATGTTGAAATCATTACCTTGCCACATTTCTGGTTTCTGCCTTGTATGTAATCAGGAATTCTAAGAACCCAATTTTCCTTTTTTGTAGCTGGTCCCACCTATAGGAATGTTGAATAATCCTATGAATGCAGTAACAACAAAATTTGTTCGGACATCAACAAATAAAGTAAAGTGTCCGGTATTTGTTGTTAGGGTAAGTATTGTGTTGGATATTTGGGGGGAAAATTAATCTTGAGTTATACAGCAAATGTATTTGACAGGGCAAAGAAACTAAAATATTATTTTAAAAGTATATCTGGGCTAATAATTGGTTTATTCCTAGTAACTTTATTTTGAAATATCCAGTTGTTTATCTGCTTTATCACTATTGAGTGAGATACCACTTTGGGATTGTTTTTCTTCATGTGGTAATTTCTGTAGAATTCTCTCTGAATACATGGATACATATTGGAGCAGGTCTCAGAGTTGTCTTTGAATAGGAATGCTTTTGTTACTGTATAGAAAGCAGCATCCCAAGATAAATGAAAAATACTTAGGAGTTACTAGGTAGGAAAATATCTGAGAGAGCTGAAGAACTGTGGTGTACCATAAGTTTTAGTTCTATGATGGTACCTAGTAGGCACTAAATACATTTAAACTGAAATTTTAAAAATATAATTTTTAATTATAAACCTGATTTTTATAGATGGTAATGTAATCATTTTCTTTGTGTTTCTGTTATTCTACTTCCTAGCTAATGGACTTGTTAGTTAACAGTATCCAGAGGTGTAGAATGGTTAACAGTCTAAGTTGAGCAAATAACAGTTGGAAAAAAAAAATGAGACTGAGAAAAGACAATTGTGGCAAACATTAGTGGCAGATGAGGAAAATAAGCAGAGCTTCTGATATCAGAGGAGTATGATAGCAAGGAGAACCAAAAGGTCTTGGGAGAGAGGTATCAGTCTGAACTCCATGGAAATAGCTGCATTTAGTGTTAGGCCTCCTATTTGCCTCAGTGGCTTTAGGCAATAGAAACATAAGGGCCAGGCATGGTGGATCACACCTGTAATCCCAGCACTTTGGGAGGCAGAGGTGGGTGGATCACCTGAGGGCGGGAGTTTGAGACCAGTCTGACCAATAGGATGAAACCTCATCTCTACTAAAAATACAAAAATTAGCCAGGCGTGGTGGCGTGCACCTGTAATCCTAGCTACTTGGGAGGCTGAGACAGAAGAATTGCTTGAACCCAGGAGGCGAAGGTTGCAGTGAGGTGAGATCGTGCCACTGCACTCCAGACTGGGCAACAAGAGCTAAAGTCCGACTCAAAAAAAAAAGAAACATCAGTAAAGAAACATTGTGGCCAGGCATGGTGTCTCACGCCTATAATCCCTGCACTTTGGGAGGCTGAGGCGGGCAGATCATGAGGTCGGGAGTTTGAGATCAGCCTGGCCAATATGGTGAAACCCCGTCTACTAAAAATACAAAAAATTAGTTAGGTGTGGTGGCGTGCACCTGTAGTCCCAGCTACTCAGGATGCTGAGGTAGGAGAATCACTTGAACCCTAGAGGAGGAGGTTGCAGTGAGCCAAGATTGCACCACTGCCCTCTGGCCAGGGCAACAGAGCAAGACTCCGTCTCAAAAAAGAAAGAAAGAAAGAAAGAAACATTGTTATGTGAGTACAGGCAACCAATGTATAGTATAATTTTTTTTCTAATCAGGGGAATTTGGTCAAAGGGTTATCATGTGCAGCTAATTTTAATATCCTCTTAACATAACATGGCAAACCTTTATGGAAAGAATAAAATCCAAGCATGCCATATCTGGTAAGGTGGGTAAATGCTCTCATGTGGGGATTACGCTATAAGGTTTTAGAAAGAATTTGTACATAGTAGAGGCACAGTCACAAAAGATAGTAAGGTATAAAGACCGTGGGCTGTGTGTCTATAGTTTGGTTGTCTGTAGTATTGACTGGGTCAGGATCCATATCAGATAACAGAAACTAGAAAGGGAGGAGGCTTTTATCTGATAATCAAAACTGTGACTTACAGGTAAACAATAAAAAGCCAAACTGTCATATATATTTGTGTAATTTAAGAAATAACCTTTATATATCCTAGCCTGCTGTTTCTTTACGCACATACATATTTTTCTACTTTGTCACAGTTTTCATTTTGGAAAATAGGTTTGTTGTGTTAACATTTTGTATGTTTACGTCTTTTAAGGAAAATCTGTGTGTGATCCATTTTAGAAACTTGAAAATAAAAAGTTAAAAAAAAAAAAAAAGGTTTCAAATTAACCAGCAGGTATGTCACAGATTTCCTTTAGGATGCAAATTGTAATATTAAAATAATGATGTAAAAATATTTAAAGGGCTTTAAGTACAACAAGTAAAAAAGGGTTTTAAGTGTAATTTGAAGGAGAAAAGGGTTTAAGTGAAAAAAAAATTACTGGTATAGTCATTCCCTGAAAGTATGTACCTCTATTGTGTATCAATAAAAAGTTAAAAATATTGTTGTAGTGTTAATTAGTCATGGCACTATTTATGTTTTTTTTTGAGAGTAGATCAGCATAAGACTTATCACTGCTTGGTACTTTGGATGGAGGAGAGCTTACAATTTTATTTTGAAGTATGTTTAGCTGCAGGAAGAGTTTGATAGCTTCAGTTTCCTTAAATTGGTACTTGTTATTATCTTGTTTTTTTAATTGAATATTGGTAACTTTTCTTTCTAGATTTGTCCCCTAGTACTTGTAAGCACCAAATTCTTTATTCAGTCTTTGAGTTGTGGTGGTGACTGATCACCTTATTTATGTTAGTCTCTCATATAGCCTAGGAAATGAGGTCTTTGCATATTGTATTTTGAAATGGTCTTTAGCATTCATAAGTGTGTGTAATTTAGTGAGTAGGTGCATGTACTCTTCATGTGCTTAGTATCTTTAATTTAGCTAATAAGCCAAAGTACTAGAGCTTTCCCTGCACTGCATTAGGTTCTTTTCTGACAAAGTACTTCTGATAAAGCTGAGCTACATTTAAGTGAAAGTATCATCTACTTAGTGTCAGTAATTGCATGTTTTATAAATATCTTTAAGATGTTTTCAAAGTTAGCGAAGTTGGAGGATATGCCCTTGTGTAACCTGTCTTTTTTTCTCTCTTAGTGGACCCCAGAAGGAAGACGCTTGGTCACTGGAGCTTCTAGTGGGGAGTTCACCTTGTGGAATGGACTTACTTTTAATTTTGAAACAATATTACAGGTAATAGTAATCACCAGATGATAGCATCATCCTGTGGTACTGTGAAGAACTTGAGATATAGTCACTTCATTGGCATTGTTAAGCTTAGAATTGGACGAGGCATTACCTCGAGTCAGTATATGCTTTTGTAAGCCTTTAGTCATATATTCTTTGAAGCAGCACCTTACTAATTAATGTTTTCTGTTTTCATAGGCTCACGACAGCCCAGTGAGGGCCATGACGTGGTCACATAATGACATGTGGATGTTGACAGCAGACCACGGAGGATATGTGAAATACTGGCAGTCGAACATGAACAACGTCAAGATGTTCCAGGCACATAAGGAGGCGATTAGAGAGGCCAGGTTTATACACAATATACCATTTTCTGTAGTCCCTATTGTCATGGTTAAATTATTCTCTAAGTGTATTCTGGGTGCAGAGATGCATGGGCTCTGTCAGATTCTGGGAAACTTTCTGCACCCTATAAGCACAATATTTTTCTTTGTTTTCACACATTCACCATTTTGCTGGCACCTTTCTGAAGTAGTGTTGTCCCGGTATCAGCCTTTGCAATATGTTAGAGATGTATTGTCTGCCGCATTTTGCACTGGTTTTCTCTTTTCATTTATGATTAATAATGTGTATACTTTATTCCTTTTTATTATCTACTGTGTAAGACAAGAATATTTCATTCCAAATAAAGAATTCAGTCTTTAAGTATGCAACTGAATAAAATCTAAAGCCTACAGAAAACAACTTCAGAATTCACACAAAGTGGAAAAAGGCTTAAGTGAAGACCTGGTTGGCTTGGTTATGCCACGACTTTCCAAAGGAAAGTATAGGACTAAAACCCCTCACAGATAAATGGATGTGGCAAACATTAACGGATTAATGAATGGGTTCTTCAAGCTTTGCAGCTGTAAGCAGATCATTGTGAAGAAGACTCTAGGACTTTTCTTCTGATTCACTGTTGATAACATCACTTATGCAAATGTATACAATAAGTGGAGTTTAAATATTTTCAGTGAGTTGTATATTTTTACATATCAGTGAGATATGTATAGTAAAACTGGGGGAAAAAGTTCCAAATACAAGCCTGAAGAATTGCTGCAGCCTCAGAATAAAGCTAAGCAGCATTCTTTAAGGTTGTGCCACCCATGTGTGGGAGGAGGTTGACATCTTTATAGAAACATCATCCACTGTAGTCATTTGCTTATACTTGCAGAATCTTAACAGAAATTGTTGGATGAACATGCTTCTGTTTTGTAGATTTTGCCTTAGTGCCATGCCCATACATTGAGTTTACACAGTTGATCCTTTCTTAGTCATAGGATTCCAAAGTTCAAGGAAGTTCTTAGTGTTAGTTGAGAAACTTGATCGTTTTTCACTACTGGGAAAAACTGGCTCCTTCTTGCAGTGGATTCTTTGGCTTTAAACACAAGTCTGAATGTCATTATTTTAAAGTTTTCCTCAAAAGGTGCAACATCCATGGAATAGCTTACTAGGAAGATGTGAAAGTTTTCTACCGACCTTTAGGATAGATGAGAAACATCATATATAGGGATGGTTAGCAATCAGTCTTCTAGTAGACTGCCCACATGGTTTCAGCTTGTCATTTCATGAAGTGTTTCAGGCAGAAGCTGATGATAATTTTGGGAGCAGTATTCGTGTGCGATTTAAAAGACTGCAGGAATACTGCAGAAATATAATCCATTTAGTTTCACCGCTTAAGGCAGCGTCATATGATTTCCTGGTATGATAGGAAATGAAGAAGGAACATGGATAGCATTAGCACTAATAATACACACGTGAAGTTCTCAGAATACTGATGGTTGAAAACTCAGAAACAACTGCTCTGATGAAGTCTTCTTTTGATGAGATGCCTGTGTTAGTTGACAACATTCGCTTTAAGGGCTTCTTCACTGGATTCTGCCCTCTCCTGTTTATAATGCAGCACCGTGTTTTTATTTTTCCCTGTCTGAGAAGCACAGATTATCTGTTAAATGCTGACTTCTTTCCCCTGCTGTGTGTCTTCATGTAACAGTTTCTCACCCACGGATAATAAATTTGCTACATGCTCTGATGACGGCACTGTTAGAATCTGGGACTTTCTTCGTTGCCATGAGGAAAGAATTCTCCGAGGTACGTGTACTAACAGTACTGATTGGAATATTTAAATAGGGAAGACATTTGTGGTTAAATCATCACAAAACCACAATACTGGCTTACATCTCCATTCAATTTTTTTACATATACACACCGTCTCAGACTCTTCAAAAAAACCAAGACTTTCTCTGATTCACAGTCATTTTGTAGGTTTTTTACTACCAGTATCATCTTTGAATTTTTCAGCTATAAATTAAATACAAGAGCCCCCTCTCCTTACTCGTTTATCTGTATGCATCTTTTAGGCTGTTTCTTTTCCTTTCCTGTAGCCAGAGTACTTACTCCCAACATATTGACAGTGTGGTTTGATTTAGATAGTGCTCATTCTCCTGGCGGTCCTTTCATGATATGAAGTAACCAACAAGATAGAGGTATCAAAGCTACACTTCTTAGCGTTACTATTTCTGAAAGCAGTTGGTTTTGCAGTACACCACATTTGTACTACATGGCCTGCTTGTTACTAAGTTCGGGAGGCATTGCTTGTTTACTTTGTTGATTTCATAATTAATAAAGAAACCTCTATGAATTCATTCTATAACTGAAGTCCATATTCTCCCTTCGATTATTTTAGATTATGATTAGAATATTGGACCCTGTAAAGTGGGCCTGTTGAAATACTAACAGTCTATCAATGTGAGTTACATGGGTTCAGTGGTGGTAGAGTTTAGGAATTTGTTGTATATGTGCAATACAAACATCACAACGAAGAGACTTCTAACTGGATCCTATTAGTTTATTAAGTAGGAAGGTACTTTTCTGAAGTGCTTAATTTGAACCTGTTAAATGTACTGTTTAACAAACAGTACCTTCTTCTCCATATCCTTGATTCTAGGATGCCACAAAAGCACCATCTTTCTCTGACACATAAATGCAGGGTGGGAGAATGGGTGCTATAGGTGTTGGGTGTCAAATTGTTATTCAGAGCTTTTCCCTATGTTCAAGAGTCAGCAGAGATCGTTGTCTTGGTGAATCACAAGTTTCAGAGCTTTATCTGTAGCATGTAATGTTGATGCTTTGGAGACAGGAAAGACTCTTGAGATACTTTAACCTTATTTCAGTCCATATTTCAAGCCAGTATCTTCAATCACATTTGCTTCAACACTCCTGACTTTGCACATTTTGTTTGGGTTTATCCACAGTAGTGTATGACTGTAGCTTTCATAAGGATAGGGAACCTGTCACATTGAGGAAGTACACTCACTATAAAGGTCATAATATTGTATAACTTCAGAATGAGACAAAGACTTTGAGATCATCTTGTCAGAGTCATTTTCTGGATGAGCACCATGACCCCACGGGTGTAAGTGACATATTCAAAACCAGATAGATTCAGAGCCAGGACTAGAATCTTATTTGACACCCAGCCCAGTGCCACACTTACGTTGAATCTTTCCTCACTATTAGTCTTAGCTGTTAAACAGAAATAAGTTAAATATTTTCTAAGTTTTTAAAATCCTAGAATCTTACAGAAAATGAAATAATTTTATTTATTAAAACTAATTCTAGAGAATTAAAACAACTAATTTCACAGTGGACTGTACTAACTGAAGTCTGATCTAAAACCACTTTGCAGCTTGGATTTTAAGAAGAAGGAAATCTGTGTGGTAATGTTTTTCAATCCTATGATCCAGTGAAGCATTATTCCATTTTGGTAATGAAAGTGTTTTATTAAGAATTTTCTTCTGGAATTTAGAGTGTGCAGGGGATATTAACTAGCAGTTATATATTTTCAAATAAGTCCAGGTAAATTTAGATGAAGCTAAGTATTATAAATGAGAGTTGAGATTTTTGTATGGGGGCTCATTATTTTAGGTTTTTACTATGGAAATTTCAAACATGCACAAAGGTATAATGAGCCTTCACATACTTTGAGGATTTACATTCTAGCTTTTTAATATTGTGTGATTCTTTTAAAAAATATTCTACTTGCTTTATAGTCACAATATTTTTAGTACCCCAAGACACTTCAGTATGTGAGGCAGATATGAATATATTGAACTAAGTTGATTATACCACCCAAGCAGTAATTCTGATAGCAGGTCTGGTGTAGGAGAAGAGTTATTAGATTCCAATTGTGTGTTTTCTGTCATTTCTCACTTTTCCAAATTTTCTGCATCTAAGAGCTTCCCAACCTCCCCTTGGTGAGTTGTGGGGTCAGAGGGATGGTGGATCGGCAGTTCTTTCAAGGGATAATGAAAAGTTCTTCAAATGGGAAGTGAACTTACTTAGCTCTACTCAGAAAATTGGATCACAAAGTCAAACAAATAGGGACAGGATATTCAGACCTCTAAAATATCAGTTGCCCTTTATTAAGGATGATGTTCATTTAACGCACATAGACTCTATGGCATCAGGCAGATAAGCATACTCCTTTGCTTTGTTAGTGTTGTGTGTCAGGACATTACTTTTGGAGTTAACTGTTAAGAAAATACAAGAATAGTCTATTTAAGGGGAGTTTGTGATCATATAGTTGAACTCTATCAAATACTTTTGTACAGCATTCCTAAAAAACAGTCTTCTATTCACAAACATTTTCAGTGATGCAGTATTCCCTACTTCACATCAATTACTTTTAATTTTAGGCAGCTCTACTTTTCAGGGAGTTCGTGATGTATATCAGAAATCTGCTTCCTTACAAGGTGTCTGGCTTACAGGAATACCAAAAATTAAGTCAGCACTTCAGTCACATGGCAAGCCATTAAGTATTAAAAGACAGCTGTAGGCCAGGCTTATGGCTCTAATCCCAGCACTTTGGGAGGCTGAGGCAGGCGAATTATGAGGTCAGGAGATCGACACCATCCTGGCTAGCATGATGAAACCCCGTTTCTACTAAAAATGCAAAAATTAGCCAGGTGTGGTGGTGGGCACCTGTAGCCCAGGTACTTGGGAGGCTGAGGCTGGAGAATCGCTGGAACTCAGTGGGTAGAGGTTGTAGTGAGCCAAGATTGCACCACTGCACTCCAGCCTGGGTGACAGAGCGAGACTCCATCTAAAAAAAAAAGACAGCTGTAGGATCTTCTTAACTGAGTTTTTTTAGCTTTAAGTATACAGTGTGCCTGTGCATAATAGAAGCCATTGTTTTTTAAAAATTATTATTATTTTAAACAGAGACACACTCTGTGTTGCCCAGGCTGGTCTCAAACTCCTGGGCTCAAGGGATCCTCCTGCCTCAGCCTCCCAAAGTGCTAGGATTATAGTGAGGGCCACCACACTGGACCTGTACTTTTGAATGCAGAGTTTATAGTTGCTTTTTATTTTTACTTTTTTATTATTTTAAAAATATTTTTGAGACCAAGTCTTGCTCTGTCACCCAGGCTGGGGAGTACAGTGGTACAATCTTGACTCACTCTAACCTCTGCCTCCCATGTTCAAGCGATTTTCCTGCCTCAGCCTCCTGAGTAGCTGGGATTACAGGTGTGCATCAGCATGCCCAGCTTACTTTTGTATTTTTAGTAGAGACTGGGTTTCACCATGTTGGCCCAGGCTGGTCTGTAACTCCTGACCTCACGTGATCCACATGACTCGGCCTCCCAAAGTGCTGGGATTACAGGCATGAGCCACTGTGCCTGGCCTGTAGTTGCTTTTTATAATAGTATCATTCTGAGATTGCTCTTATGCCTAGAAAAGGATGAAGTTACAGGAGAGAAAAATAATCACTATTTTCTGAGATTTAAAATGAGCACAGATAGGTCTGTTGTTGGTGGATTTATTATATAAAAGTCCTTGATTGGCTCATGAGTTGAAAAAAACAGACATTTATGAAATAGAATATACTGCAGCATTGAGAAGCACTATGTATATGTCCACCATTCCAAAGGATGTGTAAGTCACCATAATTTATACACATTTTCTCCTTTTTTTTCTAGTGTTGATTATCGCGATTTATGGACTGGGATTAAAATAACATTTTTTTACAGTTTTTATTAAAAATTGAAAAAAAATTTCCCCTAGCTTCCCAGCTTATGATAAAATAACATTGTACACACCAGAAATATGTGAGCCTAAATGAGCCTATAAGTTATGTTCACACATTTGACTCCAACTGAAATAATACCATTAAAATCGATTTAATAAACAATGAGTATCCTGTATGCAAGTTACCTAGTAGACTGTTCTATGAGATATAACCCTATCCTCATGTTGAGGGAGGGTAAGATATTTTCACAATCGCTGAAGATGTCTGATAGTACGGGAGGAGAGCCATGTGAGCGCTTGGAGCGTATCGGCATGTGGAAGCAGATCACTTAATTACTGGAAATAAATTTTACTGAGAGGCATTATGTTCTTTTAATTTTTTTCCCACAGCCTCACCCCTCCCTATTATACCCATAAAGAGAATCGGTTAACAAATTTCAGGGTGCTTTAATTTTGTATTACCTTCTTGATTGTAACAATAATAGCTGACACATTATACCTACAGTATATCAGGCATATTGTAAGTAGTTTGTTTAGTCTTCCCAGTAGCCCTATGAGAGCAGTACTGGTTGTTCTCCATTTTACAGATGAGTAAACCAAGGTACCAGAAAGTTAAATAAACCTGTCAAAGGTCATATAGCTTGTAAGAGTTGAGGCTGGATTTGAAGTCTGTTTGTTTGGCTCCAGTATTCATGCTCTTAACTATGTTAAACTGTCTCTTTGATGTTTTAAATGTATGCCAGCCACAGTGCCTTCCTAAGCTGTAATGACATAATTGTGAAGTAAAGATGTTTTGGGGGGAGAAGGGTGTAGGTGGAGGAAACAAGGTACTCAAGTTCATTTTATAACATTCTTTAAAATGTAGAGGTTATATAGTGAATGTAACAAAAATATTAAACCATAGCTAATGATTCCCAATACAAATGAGTTATAAGGTTTATTAAATAGAACATGGACAGAAGCAGTTCTGTTGAGACTTACGCAGGAGTTTTTAGTTTTCAAATAGAATACTAATGGAATGGAAATGAACACTTCAGTACTCATCCCACAGATTAAGAAAA